TCTGACTGTTGTGTGAAATTTGCTTCCTTGCAGTCACCGATGTTTGATGGGAAGGTGCCCCACTGGCACCACTACGCCTGCTTCTGGAAGCGAGCGCGGGTAGTGTCACCCACGGACGTAGACGGATTATCAGACCTTCGCTGGGATGACCAAGAGAAGATTAAAAAGACCATCGAAACCGGAGGAACGGGAGGAGGTACCTTTTATTATTATTATTGCTCCCACGTTTCTAATGGGACTGTAAGTCCAAATCTTCTCCCTCATCTTAATTATCCTGCACTATCACTTCACTCAGTCTTTTATCCCTGTCCAAGTCTACCTCTCATTTCTGCCATTTACACTGTCTTGATGTGGCTTTCAAATAAAATTAAATTAGAATGAAGAAAGACCCTGCTATCTCGTTCCCGGAATCTGCTGTTTTCACTGTCCCCCTTGCTTTTATATTTAGGTCACTTGATTTTTATTGGAAATGTTTTGTTGTTTTATAAAGGTTGAGAATGTTAATTCTTTGCTGGTAGATTTTGATTGGATAAATAGTTCAAGATGGTAGATTGAACCACATGATTTTAAAAAGAATGAAATGTTTTCAGAGCTGTTTTCCTTGTTCATCGCTGTCAACATGTTTAGGGATCGGTAATTTAATGGTTAAATAGTTGTCTCAACAGTTTGTTGCCTTTGAGGTCTCTGGCATCTTAGGTTTGTCGCTCTTAATGTCCTCCATACAGGACATCTGATCATAGAGAGGTGTAGACCGCACTTCAATCAAAATTAAAGACATTAGGGCTTACCTGATGTTTCAAGTGTACAATCTCAGCTGCATTTTTCTAAAGTAAATATCTTCAGTTTTCTTTTTTAAGTGCAGTGCAATCTGTATTTTCACGGGACAGGAATGCCCAGATTCCTAACACCCAATCTATCCCACCTCACAGACCATGCTGAGGAGGAAGATGAGGACTGTTTGTTATTGTCCATTTTTGTTTCCCATCTCTCTGGCTTGCCCTTGAGACACGCAGACCTGGCATTCTGCTCCTGACTCTGGCTTCATTTCCTGTCCTGCCACTTTGTTCTGTTTCCAGTGTTGTGACCCTTGGGTTTTGGGGAGTTCCAGGCCCAGCCTCGTTGGTGGATAGATTCTAAGTGATAAACCAAGATTTATTCTACTTAGAATATGTGCAAACAATGGGGAGACATGTTTAAACCTCCCATATAATCACAATAATAACAGCACAAAAGGAGGCCATTGGGCCTGCCATCCCCAACTATCCTACTAGTCCCATTCCCCTGCTCTTTCACTGTCTGTTTGTCTTTCCTCCCATCTGAGGCTTGGGCCATGAGCTTTGATTGGATTGGTCTACTCCTCTGGGCAAGACTCTGCAATGGTTTCCTCTTCGTTTCTGAGGGATGACTGGCTGGGAGACTTTCTGGCCTTTCCCATCTGCGTTCAGGTGTATTCTGCAGGTCGATAATCACACCGGCCAATAAGTCCTGGTGTGGGACTGCCTCATAGGGACGGACACTACCCACTCCACCACAAGACCTCCCTGCTTTTTCATTACAACCCTGTAATGTTTTCTTGTGCAGATATTCAACCAATTCTTTTTGGAAAGTCGTTATTGAGCCTGTCTCCATCGCGTTTACAGGCAGCACTTCCTTTAGTTCTTTTCCCTGTGACCTGGAATCTGTGTCCTTGCCATTGCTTCCAACCTTTCTGCCATTGGAAATGGTTTCTCCTTCCTTGCTCTTAACAGAACCTTTTTTAATTCGGAACGCCTGTATCAAATCAACTCCCAATCTTCTATAATGAACCAACTTACATTTGCTGCTCACCAGACAATAACTAGCAGTCGAGACTATGAAGCATAGGTTGTGCCTGTGCCATAATCTACTGTGGCCAAAATGTAGAGACTCATTTATCCAATGGTGGATTCTGGGAAAACGTGTGGGAATTGGGGGTTCCACTATCTCTCTCCTTCACGTGTTCTTTCTCAAACTCACAGGAAAAGGCGGTGATCAGGGAGAGAGTAAAGGGGAGAAGACCTTGATTGATTTTGCTGTGGAGTACGCCAAATCAAACAGGAGCACCTGTAAAGGCTGCAGTGAAAAAATAGAGAAGGTGAGAGGATATCACATGATTACTTCTAGTGTTGAAGTGTTAGAAAAGCCCAGCATGGGAACTGGGGCCTAGTCAGGATGACGCAGCGTGGACAGTGGGCCCTGGTCAGGATGGCGCAGCGTGGACAGTGGGCCCTGGTCAGGATGGCGCAGCGGGAACAGTGGGGCCTGGTCAGGATGGCGCAACGTGGACAGTGGGGCCTGGTCAGGATGGCGCAGCGTGGACAGTGGGG